TCTGTGTATTGCATTTTGTTCACCACCCAAAGTTGAATCTCCTCTGTCACCATATATTTGACCCCCTTTACACTTATCTACCTCCCTCCTCCCCTCTATTCCTCTGATAACTGCTAAACTGTCCTCTGTGTCTGTGAGTTTTTATTTTTTTGTTTGTTTTGTTTGTTGATTTCAGTTTTATATTGTCTTATTTTCTTATTGTCAAGTTTTAAAAGTTATTTGTATATTTTGAGTAACAATTCTTTATCATATGTATCCTTCGTAAATATTTTCTCTCATCTGTGGCTTGTCTTCTAACTCTAGAAATTATATTTTGCAGAAAATTTTAATTTTAATAAAGTCCAGCTTATCAATTATTTCATAGATTGTGCTTTTGGTGTTGAATCTAAAAAGGTATCACCATACCCAAGGTCATCTAGATTTTCTCCTATGTTATTAACTAGGAGTTTTATAGTTTCGCATTTTACATTTAGGTCTATGATCCACTTTGAGTTCATTTTTGTGAAGGGTGTAACATCTGTGTCTAAATTCTTTTTTTTTGGCCGGCTAGGTGGGGGCATGGATGTTCAGTTTTTCCAGCACCATTTGTTGACGAGACTGTCTTTACTCCACTGTATTGCCTTTGTTCCTTTGTCTAAGATCACTTGACCATATTTATGGGGGTCTATTTCTGGGCTCTCTATTCTGTACTTTGATCGATTTTTTCTTTTGCCAATATCGTGCTATCTTGTTACCGTGACTTTACAGTAAGTCTTGAAGTTGAGTAATGTCACTCCTCTAACTTTGTTCTATTTCTTCAATATTATATTGGCTATTCTGGGTATTCTGCCTTTTCATATAAATTAACTTTATTTGTTTATTTATGTTTTAAAATTCTTAATTTTATTTTTTCCCAGTTTTATTGGGATATAATTTACGTGAAATATTGTGTAAGTTTAAGGTATACGATGTGATGATTTGACATACATATATATTACCAAATGCCACAATAGATTAATTAACACATCTTTCACTTCACATAATTGCCATTTTTTGTTGTTGTCTTCTTAACGGTGAGAACATTTAAGATCTACTCTCATAGCAACTTTCAAATATAGAACACAGCAGATCCTCAAATATTTTCTTCAAAGTCATTTTGTTTTAACATTGACGAAGTGCTATAGGCACCTAACTCTTTTTTATATCAATAAGCCTATGGTAAAATTGGTTTCATTATACATTGTTCCACTTAACCGGCACAGAACCAATCAACAATGTTAAGTGAGGACTTACTCTACAGTGTTGTTGCCTACAGTAACCATGCTGTTCATTATATCCCTGGAACTTATTTACCTTGTAACTAAAAGTTTGTACCCTTTGACCAACATCTCATTTCTCCCGACCTCTAGCCTCTGGTTACCATCAATCTACTCTCTAGTTCTATGACATTAATGTTTTAATCTTTTAATTTTTATTTTTTAAAACTTTTCAAATTTATTTTTCAATTACAGTTGAGATACAATATTATACTAGTTTCAGATGTACAACATAGTGATTAGACATTTATATGCCTTATGAAGTAATCACCCCGATAAGTCTAGTACTCATCTGACACCATACATAGTTATTACAATATTATTGACTATGTTTCCTATGCTGTATTTTACATCCTCATGACTATTATATAACTGACAGTTTGTAGTTTGTACTTCTTTATCCCTTCACCTTTTACTCTCACCCTGCCAATTCTTCTCCTATCTAGTGACCATCAATTTGTTCTTTTTATCTATGAGTTTGTTTTTGTTTTGTTTGTTTGTTAATTTTATGTTTGTGATTCCAATATAGGTAAGTTCATACAGTATTTGTCTTTCTCTGTCTGACTTATTTCACTTAGTGTAATGTCCTCAAGATTTATTCATATTGTTGCAAATGGCAGAATTTTTTTATGGTTGAATAATACTTATGTGTGTGTGTGTGTGTGTGTGTGTGTGTGTGTGTGTGTGTGTGTACATATATAATCACATTTTCTTTATCCATTCATCTGTTAATAGACACTTAGGTTGTTTCCATGTCTTGGCTACTGTGAATAATGCTGCAGTGAACATGGGATTGCAGATATCTCTTGAAGATAGTGATTTTATTTCCTTTGGATGTATACCTAGAAGTGAGAATGCTGGATCAAATGTAGTTCTATTTCCAATTTTTCAAGGAACCTTCATACTGTTCTCTGTAGTGGCTACACCAATTTACATTCTTACCAATAGTACATAAGGGTTCCCTTTTCTCCATATTCTCATCAACATTTGTTACCTCTCATCTTTTTTTATAATAACCATTTTAACAGGTGTGAGGTAATAGCACATTGTGGTTTTGACTTTCATTTCCCTGCTGATTAGTGATTTTGAGTACTTTTAGGCCATATGTATGCCTTCTTTGAAAATATGTCTATGAAGGTCCTTTGATCATTTTTAATTGTATTATTTGTGTATGTTTGTGGGGTTTTGTTTGTTTGTTTGTTTGTTTTGCAATTTTTTGTTTTTTGCTATTCAGTGTTATGAGTTTCTTATATTTTGGTATTAACCCCTTATCAGGTATATGGTTTGCAAATATTTTCTCCCATTCTTTAAGTTATCCCTTCATTTTGCTGATTAATTTGCTGTTCAGAAGCTTTATTGTTTGATGTAGTCCCACTTATTTATTTTTGCTTTTGTTGCTTTGTTTTTGGTGTCGTATTCAAAAAATCATTGCCAAGATCAATGCCAAGGAGCTTTTTCCCTATATTTTTTCCTAGGAGTTTTAAGGATTTAGATCTTATGTTTAGGTCTTTAATCCACTGTAATTTAGTCTTTGCAAATAGTGTAATATAGGAGTCCAATTTCATTCTTTTTTATGTGAATATCCAGTTTTCCCACACCATTTATTGAAGAGAGTATCCTTTCCTCATTGTATATTCTTAACTTCTTTGTAAAATATTAGTTGACCATATATGTGTGGGTTTTATTTCTGGTCTCTCAATTCCATTCCATTGGTCTATGTGTCTATGCCAGTATCATATTGTTCTGGTTACTATAAATCTGTATTATAGTTTGAAATCAGGAATTCCTTAAGCTTTGTTCTTTCTCATGATTGTTTTTGGCTGTTTGGGATTTTTTTGTGGTTCCAAACGAATTTAAAAAATTTTTTTTTCCTGTTTTTCTGAAATATGCAATTTTTTTAAGGATTGCTTTGAATCAATAGATGGCTTTGGGTAATATAAACATTTTAACAATATTAATTCTTCTGATACATGAACATGAAAGATCTTTTATTTATTTGTATCTTCTTCAGTTTCTTTCACCAATATCTTATAGTTTCATTGTATAGACCTTTTACTTCCTTACTTAAATTTATTCCTAAGTGGTTTATTGTTTTTGATGCCATTGTAAATGGGATTGTTTTCTTTATTTTTTTCAGGTAGCTTATTGTTAATCTATAGGAATGCAACAAATTTTTGTATGTTGATTTTTTAGACTTTACTAAATTATTTTATTAATTCTAAAAGTGTTTGATAGTATCTTTAGGGTTTTCTATATATAAGATCATGTCATTAGCAAACACAGACAAATTTACTTCTTCTTCTCTGATTTGGATGCCTTTATTTCTTGCCTGAATGCTCTGGTTAGGAATTCCAGAACTATGTAGAATAAGAGTGATGAGAGTGGGCACCCTTGTCCTCTTCCTGATCTGAGAAGGAAATTTTCAACCTTTTATTACCAAGTATGATGTTAGCTGTAGGTTTGTCAATACGGCTTTCCTTATGCTAAGATATGTTCCTTCTATATTCAATTTTATGAGAGTTTTTTTTATCATAAAAGTATGTTGAATTTTGTCAATGCTTTTTCCCCACCTATTGAGATGATTATAACATTTTTGTCTTTCATTCTATCAATGTGGTGTATCATGTTTATTGATTTGTGTATGTTGAACTATTCTTGCATCCAGGGATAAATCCCACTTGATCATGGTGCACAATTCTTTAATGAACTGTTGAATTTGGTTTGCTAGTATTTTGTTGAGAATTCTTTACATCTATATTCATCAGGGATATTAACCTATAGTTTTCTCTTCTTGTTTTATTCTTATCTGGCTGTGGTATCAGGGTAATGCTGGTTTTGTAAAATGAATTCAAGAGTGTTCCTCCCTCTTCGGTTTTTTGGAAGAGTTTGAAAAGATTAGCATTAATGCTTTAAATGTTTGGTCATATTCCCCCATAAAGCCAACTAGTCCTGAGCTTTTCTTTGTTGGAAGAATTTGATTACTGATTCAATCTCCTTATTTGTTATTGGTCTATTCAGTTTTTTTATATTTTCATGATTCAGTGTTAGTGGGTCGAATGTTTCTAGGAATTTATCCATTTGTTTTCAGTTGTCCAATTTGTTGACATAAAATTGTTCATAGCAGTCTCTTATAATCCTTTGTATTTCTGTGGTATCAGATGGAATATCGCCTCTTTCATATATAATTTTATTCATTTGAGCCCTTTCTGTTTTTTCTTGATAAATCTAGCTAAAGGTTTGTCAAATTGGTTATCTTTTCAAAAACCATTGTAGTTTCATTGATCTTTTCTATTATTTTTCTATTCTCTATTTCGTTTTTTTTTTTTTTTTCCTGCTCTGATCTTTGTTATCTCCTTCCTGCTGCTAACTGTGGGTTTAGTTTGGTCTTTTTTTCATGCTTCCTCAAGGTGTAAAATTAGGTTGTTTATTTGAGATCATTCTTGTTTTCTTTCTGTGTTCTTTCTTTTTTGCTTCATGAATTTGCATGTCATCCTTCTGTGGGGGCCATGCTAATCTTCTGAGTATTGTTCCAATTTTAGTATAAATGCTGCTGAAGCGAACACTCTGTTTTTCTTAATGTAGGCATTTATCGCTATAAACTTCCCTCTTATCACAGATTTTGCTGCATACCATAAGTTTTGGTATGTTGTGTTTCCATTTTCATTTGTCTCAAGATATATTTTTATTTTCCTTCTGATTTCATCTTTAACTCAATGGCTGTTCAGGAGTATGGTGTTTAATTTCCACACATTTGTGAATTTTCCAGTTTTCTTCCTATTATTGATTTCTAGTTTCATACCAATATGGTCCAGAAAAGATACTTGATATGATTTCAATCTTTTCAAATATTCTAAGACTTCTTTCATGACCTAATATGATCTGTCCTGGAAAATGTTTCATGTGCTCTTGAGAAGAATGTGTATTCTGCTGCTGTTAAATAGAATGCACCAGATATGTTTATTAGATCCACTTGGTATAAAGCATAGTTAAAGTCCAGTGTTTCCTTATTATTTTTCTGTCTGGATGGTCTTTCCATTGTTGAAAACGGGGAACTGAAGTCCCTTACTACTATTTTATTGTCTATTTCTCTCTTTAGAATTGTTAGCATTTGTTTAATATATTTAGGTGTTTTGATGTTGGGTGCAAATATAATTGTTATATCCTCTTGATGAATAGATCCCCTTATCATTATATAATAACTTTCTTTATCTCTTGTTGCTGTTTTTGACTTAAAGTTGACTTCATATGATACAAGTATAGCTATTCCTGTCCTCTTTTGGTTTCTATTTGTATGGAATATCTCTTTCCATCCCATAGCTTTGAGCATATGTGTGATCTTGCAGCTAAAGTGAAACTCTTGTAGCAGCCTATAGTTGGTTTTTAAATAATCTATCCAGCCATTCTGTGCCTTTTACTTGGAGAATTTAATCGATTTAAATTTACAGTAATTATTGGTAGGTAAGGACTTACTATTTCCATCTTGTTAACCAGATCCCCAAAATGCTCATGGCCACTCCAATATTACACAACTCAAGAAGTGTGGCACTATTAAAAATGGAGAATCAGTATCTTATTTTTGTGGCACTATTAAAAATGGAAAATCAGTATCTTATTTTTGAAAGGTTTACAAAAACATAACCCATATTCTGAGACTCCAAAGGCTGTCAGCATGATTTTATGTTCCTTATGCTGGACCCTGCCTGCAATGATGATAAGCTATCAGCCTTAACACCCCTCTTTGAATAAGTATTCTCCTCTATCTTTCCCACTGCAACTCATGAGAATCAGGAAGACTAGAAATAGAATTTTTGTCTGCTGGTGCTTTATTAATATTCTTTGAGTCTGTATCTTTGTGTAAAAGCCCACTGCTTTAAAGGAAAAAGAACCTGCTTCTAAGCTCCCAACCTTGGAACTAGAAAATTAGTTCTTAAAGTAATAAGGGAGAGTTTGAGAGGCAAGAATGATAATAAGTGAAAATAACAGAGCAAGAAATAAGACACTCACTTTCTTGCATCTGGCACACTTGGGAAATAAGAAATTTATCACGAGGAATTAAATGTGTGCCCTTATTAGAAGGTGTGAAAATATTCATGTTACATGTAAGTGGCAAATGATCAAAACAAACCAAGTTTATAATTAAATGATGAAAATAAATAGTTTTATAAAGATATAAAAGAGGGGCCGCAGGAAATGTTAATTGTACAAGACTTCAATCAAGTACTTAGATTATCTAGGAACCTACTATAGGCAAATTCAACAGAATAAAATAAAAGAGAAGACAATATAGCATTATAAGAACATACTGCTAGGGTCCTTCCTGGAGTTCTAGAAGAAGCTTGTACATGTCAGGGTCACTGAAGCTCATGATCTAATGACTTCATGGTAAATCTGTCTTTGCCATTGTGTGCCATTGTTAGACCTTGACCCTAACACCAACCAGAAACTCACCACATGATCCTTTCACCTGCTCATTCCTACTGCCTACCTCATTTGGTGGTCTTTTCTCTCTCATAGCAATGTAAAATTCCACCATTACAATATCAAAATCAATAGGTTCTTCAATAATTTTTGCCTTACGTCTCTGACCATAGTCCTGTTCTGATTAAGTTCATCATGAATTTCTCTAGTTTGCATTCTGACCATCCCTCATTATTGTCACAATAGAAAATGACACCTTTGTCCATCACCTTAGACACTCGTATAGACCCTGAAAGAGGGAGTATCATGGAGGAGTCAGAGTCCAGGTGATCCGGGATGGGTTATCATGACCAGAAACATATTTGCTTAAGGCATGAAGAAGAGCTGGCTGAGTTTAAAATATGGTCCCTTTTTATTTATTTTATTTTTATATTAAACATGCTCCTTGTGCAAAGTAAGAATTAAATAGACAATTTTAACATTAAAAGTAAGAATTTCCCCCACTCTGAAGACCTAATCCCTTACTCCATAGTTAATCAATAACTGTAGTTAATGATTTCCTCTGTGTTTATGTTTGAAGGATTGGTTTTAAGGGAGAGATGATGCCTCTGGTTTGAGACACACTAAGTTGAGGATTCTGATGTTATACTTTGGTGGCAATGTTCCAAGAAACAGCTGGGTATTTCAAATAGGCAGTTGGAGAAGTGAGAACTAATGAAGTATATCAGGAATTTTTTTCTTGCATTGTTAATGGTGTGAGAACGAAGGAACTGTGAGGGAGAGAAATGAGAGGTAGGAGAAAAACAAACAAACAGCACAATTCTCAACCCTCGGCAACACCTGCATTTCAGAGATGACCAGGGAAAGTAAGGCCCTTGAAGGAGAAAAACGCAATGGTCAGAGAGGTAAGAAAAGTTGAGAAATACTTCTGTGTTTTAGTGACATGTAAACTTCACTTCCCTGTGAAAATGCAATAGAAATATAGCATATATATGTATATATATGTATGTATATGTATATATATATATGGAAGCAAATATTTCTACTGGTAAAAAAAAACATATAGCAAACATAAATACATTTTGTACTGTATTTTACTGCAGAACTTTCTGCTGCTTGCTCTTGTTTACTGGTCTACTCTTAGTTTCTATGTGCTGGGCTCTGGGCCTCATTTCCACCTTGACATGTGGGGACTGCAAGCTCTCCGCATGCCTCCGCTTTCTTTTCAGGTCCACTCTCTGGCTATTGTGAAAACCTCCCTCTTGTCCCACTGTGGTAGGCAGGCTTCTAAGATGGTCCGCAATCATCTCCAGCTCCTGGTATTCATACCCTTGCATAATTTCCTTCCCAAAAGTGTGGGCTAGACCCAGTGAGTTGATTCTATGGCATAGGTGATGGGATGTCACTTTCACGATTAAGTGTTAAAAGATTGTAACTTCTGTCTTTCTAGCAGACTCTCTCTATTGCCTCTGGGCTTGAACATTTTGATGAAGTAAGCAGCCATGTAGTAGAGGCCCAAGTGGTAAGGAACTGAGGGCAACTTCTAGTTAATAGTCAGCAAGGAAGTGAAGCCCTCAGTCCAACAGCCCATGAGTAAATGAATGTTGCTAACAACCCCTGAGTGAAATTGGAAGCTGATCCTTCTCCAGTTGAACCTTCAGATGAGATCACAGACCCTGAGCCAACACCATGATTGGAGCCTTGTGAAATACCATGAAGCAGAAGACCCTGCTCAGCTGTGCCCAGATTCTTGACCTACAAAAAGTATGAGATGATATGTGTGTTGTTTTAAGCCACTATTTTTTGGAGTAATTTTTACATGGCAACAGACAACTAATAAACACACTAAACCCCTAATTCTAGTTATCTTAGAAGTGTTCCAAATCTCAAGCGTCAGTCTCCAGGAGTGCAGGAAGACTAGTTCAGGAGAGTGATGCTGAAGCCTGAACCAGAACAGTGACAAGGGAAATAGAGAGGAGTAGTGTATAGGAGGCAGAGTCAGCTTGACTAGATCAACTGAATGGTGGGGGATTAAGGAGAAGAGTCAACTTGGGGTACCAGGTGGAGAGTGAAGTACACAAAGGGTAAGGTGATGAGGAGATGGTTTTGCATATTATTACCTGTTTTCAAGCTAAAAAAGTTTAGTTTCCAACTTCCCTGACTGTTTAAAAGCAGATCTGTTGGGAAAGACGGTCTAGGTACAAATAAAATAAGTTTGAATCTGGGTCATGGGTACATAAAGATACACTCTGCATTTTAAAATGCTCTCAAAATTTGTACAATTTTGAAATTTTCCATAGGAAAAGTTTTTCATGGAAAAAGGTTAACAGCTAGATGGATCGACTAAGTCTATCTAAATGGACAATGGGGAGAGAGAGAGAGAGAGAGAGAGAGAGAATATTAAAGATAAAAGGCAGAAGAAAAAATAAAATAAAATAAAAGCAGGACAATTTAAAGCAAAGGAGGAGAAGCCTGGGAAATTTCCTAAGCTGAAGAAGGTAGTAGCTAGAGCTTTTAAGGGCAGCCTATGAGCTTGTCCACTGAAGGCACTGAGCCAGCCTGAACTCTGGGTTACAAGGACAGTCCCAACCTCTGGTAAGATGTTTAGGACATCTCATGGGTAGAGCCAGTAGCAATATCATACAGAGAAGGATCATTGTGGAAAGCCATCAAGCAAGAAAAGGCCAAGAGACAATCCTCAGAAAATTGAGCTGGCTAGGGAAAGCATCCAAGTAGGTACCAGTAGGCTGCTGAGGTGTAATACTGTCTTTCACCTTGGCCTCACAGATTGAGGAGAGGGGAGTGGGAACAGAGTGGCTAAGTGGACCTAAGAGACATTCCAGAAGGAGGTCTGGGAGGCAGCAGGTCTTCCTTCTAGGTGGAAGTGACAAGATATTGTCCTATAGAAATGAAGAAGGAGCAGCTCAAGACTATTAGAAGTCCCACTGACTCCCAGGATAAGAGCCACCCCACTGCCCTCCCATGTCAGCCTTTTATAATTCCAAAGGATGTATAGGCAATCTTCAGATAGCTGAATGGCTGATTTGAACAGTTGGAATGAGGCAAGAGTGAAAAAGCTGACAATTACTACAAACTTGAGCTCATGGTAGGAACACTACATGATCAAATCAAATATAGAAATAAC